GTGGAGCGCGACGCCATCACGTTCGCCAGCGCGGCGAGCGCGTGCTGCATCGATTCTCTCCTGGAGGAACCGCGCTGGAAGGAGGCGCTGGTACTGGTAGAAGACATGGAGCTTCGCGGCATACAGCGTGGCGGCGCGCCCAAGGGGGGCGGCGCCAGTGGGGGCGCCTCCTGAGAACGCGGGGGGGGGTCCGCGGAGTCCGCTTTTCAAAAGCCCTTTTTTGTTGAGCCCCTTGGGCCATTCAGTGAAAGCCTTTTTTCTGCTTCCTGCAGGGGACGCCCCCGCCTCCAAAACGTCTGCGTACAAGAGTGGTCTCCAGTTCCATAGCGTGTTGGACGTTCTGGTAAGGGGCGCCAGTAGACCGAGTTGAAGTTGTTATGGGGAAAGCATGTGCCCACTGCACACCTTGTTTATGGGCAGGGAGCTGTAAACTCCAAGACGCAGTTGAAATTGATAGACATCTCGTAGGAGGGAGAAATAGGCACAGACAGAGCTGAACGTGGATTCCCACGGATGTGGGTATATGGGAACTGGAAGGGGAGAGGAACATCCAGATGATATTTCAGAACAGAAGGCATCTTGCGGTCTGTGGAAATCTGTTGTGAAGGCATTGCGGCTGGTGCTGCCGACCCGAAAGGCGGGACCTCTCTTGGAACCCCCCCTGCAGGACCCTGGGGCCGAGGCCAGGGCTGGAGCTGGGGTCATGGCCGGGGCCACGGCCGGGGTCACGGCCGGAGCCAGGATGAAGTCGGGCACGTCCCTCTACCGGAGAAATATTCACAAATATATGAAAAAATAGTCAGGGGACAATCTTTCTAGCATGTCTGGCCTTTTTTGGATTAATTTGGGGTATTTCTAACTTTCCTGTCAGAATCCACCTGCAGGAGGACGCCCGACCTGAGGCCAGGACTGGGGCCCTCCGGGCCAGGACCGGGGCCGGGGCTGGCCCCCACAGGGGGAACCTGTTCTTGCAGTCCCTCTTGTCCAACGGGTGGAAGCACCCCCGGGGACCCGCCGGGACCCTCGCGGGGCGATAACGTGACCTGGGACGCCCCCCTCTTTACCCCCCCGCCGTGCCCCGCCCCCTTTCAGGGAAGGAAAGGAGGGGGGGGGAATCGTTTTAACTACGACGTTTCTTTTCCCCGTAACGTTCCTCAGCTTTCTCGGGACTGACGACCACGACGACGACGGCGACGACGAAGACGACGGCAACATCTCACAAACGCCGAAGGGTCGGCGGATTTGCGTCTCCCTGGGCCCCTTGAATCTTGCCCTCTGTCGTCGCGTGGCGCTCTCCCCTCGCGCTAGGCCTCCCCCCATGCGCGCCGCCAGACAGCCCAGGCTGCTGAGCTGCAACACCGCCGCGCGGGCGCTGCAGCTGGCGAGGCGCTGGCGGGAGGCGCTGCAGGGGGGGGGGGAGATTCGAGGTTTTGGGTTCGAGCAGGTCTTTTGTCGAGCAGGTCCGAGGTCCCGGGACCGTCGAAAACGGATCCAGGGTGGAAAACTTCACCAGATGGGCCCTGGGAGGGGTCCGTGGACCGATTCTTGGCGGATTGTTGCTCTTCGTCGGCGGGAGGCGCTGCTCTTCCTGCGGACGGGCTACCGCAGGAGCTCAGAGGAGGAAACTGTACCGACACTGCTACCCTCGCCTCGTCTTCGCCTTTTCGGGCTTCGTGGGAGGCCCCCGTCGCCACCGCTGGATTCGCCCCGAACACACCCAAGGAGGGGTCCACGGAGTAGCGGTATCAGTTCCTTTTGGTTTCCCCAGGTGACGAACGAACAACACAAACCCATATCCATATGGGGGACGGAGGGGGCTATGGGTGCGTGTTGTCGAATGAGGGTCCTCGCTCGAGAGGGAGCCTCCTCCGGGTCCGACAGCCCGCATCCATACCCGTGGCCAGTCTTTCTCCCCCCTGTGGGTATGGGTCGGCCACGCGCAGAAGGGGGTACGGGGAGGGGGGAAGGCTGCTTAGAAGCACTCCTGCTTTTTAGAAGGCGCTGGCCTTCGATATACGTCAGGCCAGGGCCTTTCAGAAAGGCTGCCCCCCTCCCCCTCCGCGCGCCGCCAAGACCCCCCTGTGGGTATGGGTGTGTTTTGCTGTTTCCTTTCCCAGGAGCGGCGTCGAGCCGAACGCCGTCGCGGTGTGCAGCGCCGCCCGCGCGTGGAGGGAGGGGGCGGCCTGGCCCGGGTCCTTGGGCCTCCTCGAGTTGGCGCGGAGCCAGGGGCATCCCATCCGGGTCGGACGAATTGGGAGGCGCCATGGATTTGGTTCAACATCCAGTCGATATGCGAACATTCTGTGTGTTTGTTGTAGAGTCGCCGAAGCAAATAATCCCAGGGTAAGTCCATTCGGCAGAAGATCTCCCGTTCGAGTGCCGTGCTCGAGGCTTTCTCGGGCGCTCGCGGTCGGTCCTCGGCGGCTTCCCAGCCCCGGGGTGCTCTCCGGCAGCTGCGCCTGGGCCGCAAAAGAGCGCTCCGCACGGGGTGCCCGGGAGCGCCCCGGGCTGGCCGCCAGAGGCCCGACCGCTGCGACCCGAGCAAGGGCCAGAGGGCGAGGACCGCTCGGGGCGAAGACCGCCGCGGCGGCCGGGCTCGGCCCCGCCGCCGAGCGGTGTCTGAGGGGCCGGTGGTCCAGCACCACCACCAGAGGTCGGAGGGGGGGAAGGAGGCGGAGGATCATGGGGAGGAGGAAGGAGAGGGGGAGGAGGCCCCCTCCCCCTCCCACTCGTGGTTGTGGCTGTGGAGAACAAGCCCACCACTCCCCTCGACATACCAGGTGCGCACCTGGCGCCGGGTAGAGAGAGAGAGAGAGAGAAACCAAAAAAAATCATGGGTCCTGGGCCCTGAGGCTTTCCCCAGGACCAGCTCTTCCTCCGCCTCCTCCTCCTCCTCATCCTCCTCCTCCTGTCCCTCCTCCTCCTCTTCCTCGTCCCGACCCGAGTCGCGTTCGGTGACAGAGAAAAGGGCCCCAGGGGCCCGAAAACGGTGAAGCAACATCCAGGACCAGCTTGATACATATCCTTATCCCTTTGTTTGGCATCACTTTCCTCGGTACCGATCCTAGCGACTCTCTCAGTTTCTGAGCGCACATCCCTAGGACTGTCATTGCCGATCTTGGGGATAGGGACAAGTTCGAGGCTGGTTATTTCCCCCAGACCCGTTTCCAGACGTCTGACGGTCTGGTTTCAGTACCGCGCCCCCAGAAGTGCAGACGCTTTCCCCAGGGCACACTTGTTTCATCCCGAACCCTGTTTTGACTGTCCTAGTGCCTGGGGAGGCCCCCCTGAGACCGAAAGCGAGCCCAAACCTGACGTCGTGACCTACCCTCGCAGAAGGCGGCGGGGCTTCTCAGAAGCCCCCGCGCCGTCTCAGGAGCCTCGCAGGCCTTCTCCGGAGCTGCAGACGGCTTCTCGGAGAAGGCGTGAGGGCTTCTGAGAAGCTTCTGAGGGGGCCTGCCCACCCGACTTCCCCGCGGGCTCGTCGCCGACAGGAAGCGACGCGCCCCTTCCCACCGGCTCGTCCGACCCGGCCCGTGCGGGGCCCGGGCGGGCCGCGCGATCGTGGCGGGAGGCCGGCGTCCGCCGGCGCGGTGCTGCTGGGCACGGCGATCTTGGCCACGGAGCGGGGCGGGAGGCGGCCGTGGGCGCCCTGTCGGGGGGCTGCTCCTTCGGACCCCCTTCGCCTCCTCCTTCTCCTCCTCCTCCTCCTACTCCTCCTCCTCCTCCTCCTCCTCCTCCTCCTCCTCCTCCTCCTCCTCCTCTCCTCCTCCTCCTCCTCCTCCTCCTCCTTCTCCGCCTCCTCCTCCTTCGCCTCCTCCTCCTCCTCCTCCTCCTCCTCGTCCTCCTCCTCCTCCTCCTCCCCCTCCTTGTTCTCCCCAGAGGGGGTCCGAGCAGGTGGCGTCGGAGGATCGCCCCCACCCGGCCGATGCCTCGGCGACGCGGCTCGATGCGGAACCCGATGCTCTCCACGCCGACGTCGCAGTGGCATCGCCGGTGCATCGGTGAGGCATCGACCATGCGGCGCGATCCCCCGACCCCGTCTGCTCCGACCCCATCCGAGAGGCCTCTATGCCCAGGGGCCCCAGATCCCCTCGCGTCGTGAAAAGCACATGGCGGAAGGTTTTTCGCCAGTTTCGGCCTCCGGTTGCCCCCACCAGGCATCGCGGCCGTCAAATGAGGACTCGTGATAAAACGCCAGTCTGGAGGAAGGGGGACCGTCACGAAGCACGTTGCGCAATTATACGACGTCTGCCAGCGCCGGCGCCAAACAGTGAGGTATTGCGCTGTGCACGAGTAGCCTATGTGGCACAATCTGTGCGGTGCGCTATGTGTGGCTATGTGGTGTGAGCTACCGGGTGCAGTACATGTGAAGTGCGTGAATCATGTGGCGTCAGCTATGTGGTGCTCACGGCCGCCCTCAGGCGAGACCTCGCCACACCCGCCCAGCGCGCGGGGCGGACACGAGGCGTCCACGGCCGCCCACGCGGCGAAGTCTAACCGTAATTAGGCAACCCAGGGAAGGACCCCGAAGTGCAAGCACTGTCTGGAGAACACTTGAGCGCGCCAGCGAGGGTGGGCAAGCTCCGACCCAAGATGTCCACGCAGGCTTCCGAAAGTGTATGCTTTTTGCGTTTTGTCTTCCTCCGTCCCCCGTTGAGCTGCACAGAGCCCTCGGCGAGAGTCGGAGTTGAGGCCGTGTGATGTCGCACGGCAGTTGTTGTGGTTTAGAGCTTTGGCCTTAAGCCCTCGAGGTGGGCATGAACATCCCGTCGCATCCGCCCTCGCCCGCGCGACGCTGCGGGTGGTCCGGGGCCCGCCCCGCGCCGGGGGAGTCCCTGGCGCTCCCATAGTCTGGCGTCCTGCTGGGGTCGTTCGAGCTGTGCCACCTGCTGGCCCTCGCGCGCCAGAAGGCCACCAGGATTCGGCGGAGCGGGCGGTGCTGCGGGACCAGGCGCGCCACATCGCCGCCCTCGTCGCTGCCCTGGCCGGCTTCGGCGATGGCGCCCAAGAGCGCGGTGAACGCCAAGGGCAAGGCCAAACCCAAGCCCACGGCCGCGGGGGCTGGCGGAGGACTCGGCCGCGGCGCGCTTGCCCGTGCTGTTCGCGCCCGCGGGCGCGGCGTTCGCGGGCGTGGCGGACGCGCCCGAGGCGGGGCCCGCGCGCGGTCCTGAACGTTGCTCTCCAGGGGCTGGCCGATCCGCGGGCCGGCCTGGTGCAGCACCAGTTGAGGGCTGCGGCTGGCCTGGAGCCGGAGCTACCAGAGGCTCGGATCGATTTCTTCTGGGAAAACGCAGCGTCGATGGTGGAGAGGGACGTTCCTTGCCTCAGCCGCTTAGTTTTCTTCGAGTCGTTCCCCGTGAATCAGGCGGGCGACTTCGGCCGGGTCAAGCGGCCGCGCCTCCACTGGGCGTCGCAGGGCCTGCTGCCGACCTTGGAGGCTGAGTCGACCGTCGTGATGGCGAGGTCGGTAGAGGGCGCGCGGAGCGCTTGGCGCGCGCAGCTCATGGACCCGCGCCCCCCTTCGGGGGAGCGGGCGACGCGGGGCGCGCGCTGCCCAGGGGCCCCAGGCGGAGAGCCGCCCCCCGCGCTCATGCCCTTGACCCCTCGCGGCCAGCCGCGCCCCAGGCCTGCGGGCATCGGGGAGCGCTCGACGGCCCAACCAAGCCCTTTCGCGTCGCGGCCTCGCCGTTCCAGTTTCGTGGCAAGTGGCGCGCGCACTGGCCCCATGGGCGGGTGGGGCTGCCCTGCGCCTGGGTTCGCGAGAAGCTGATGGGCTTTCAAAAAGGGCACGCGGCGCCCTGCACGACGAGCAGCGAGGCCAAGGCGGAGCCCGACAAGCATGGGGCCTTGTGCAAATCATCGGTCGATCTTTCCATTGCGAAGTGGTGGCTTGGCTGGTCAGCCACTGGGCGGCAGTCGCGCGCCCGGTGGCCGCCGCGCCGCCGCTCGAGGAGCCCCGCGCCAGCGCGCGCTCCTGGGGCGGCAGCCGCCGACTGGGCCGGGGGCGCTGCGTTGGTGCGGCGCGGGCGCGAAGAGTTCGCGGAGCGCCGCTTTGTGGCGCTGGGGAAGCACGGCGCGTCCGCGCACGTTCTCCGCGGCCCCCGACGCTGGGCGGCGGCCGCCTCGCGCCGGGGCAACCCGTTTGCGGTGGCCCCTCGGCGCCCGCGAGAGGACGCGGTGGCGGTCGACGCCAGCTGGCTTCAGTCGCAGCCGCAGCAACTGGAGGCCCAAGGCGAGCTGCGGGGCGCGCCGCTTCTGTGCCGCCGCCCGCCAGAACTGCCGCGCCAGGCCGACGTGCTGCTCGCTGAGCTTGCGAAGCGTGGGCATGCTGAATGGCGCGACACAGGCGCGTCGCGGAGCATTGCGCCGGGCCCGGCGACGGCCCGCCATCGCAACGGCGCAGATTTGAAAGCGGAAGGAATTCAGAAGTTCTTGCCAAAGCGTTCCCCAGGCAGGAGTTTGACGCCCTCTTCTTGCAGCGGTGAAAGGCAGGGCAGTTGGCGCGGGGGGGCCGCGCAGCACATCAATGTCCTGGAGTGCCAGGGCGCGCTGATGGCGATGCAGTGGCGCGCGAGGTCGGTCGCCCGTCAGCAGCGCGCAGGCTCGCGCCTCGTCGATAGGACGGTCAACGTCGTCGCCTTCTCGAGGCGCCGTTCCAGCAGCAGGCAGCTCAACCAGGTGGCGCGCAGCATCTCAGCCTGGAAGCTCGCGAACAGCGCGTCGTCAGCCAAGAACCCAACGGGATCGCCGTCGCGCTTTGCCGACGGGTGAACCGCGGGGCTGGCCGCCAGGCGTGCCGCCAGGGCTGGCCCGTGGAGGCTGGGCGACGCGCAGGTCGGAGCCCAGGCACTGAAGCGATGCCCGCGTGTGGCTCAGCAGTTTGTCCACGATGTGGCCGCCACCAATTTCCAGTTTTTTCGAGCGCCCTCGGGCGGGCAGCGCCGCTGAGGGCCAGGGCAACTACGCGCTGAGCGGAGTGTATCATTTGCTTGAGACACGCCGCCAAGCCCCAGGCGCTTGGAGGCTGCTTTCAGTCTGGGGCCGCCTGGCAATGCCGTCCCGCGCCCCGCCCACGTCTGCCCGGGCGTGCGCTGCGCTTGCTGGCTGGGCGTTCGCCCGAGGCGAGATCGCGCTCGCCGCTGCCATCCTTGCTGGGTTTGCATTTCCGCCCGCGCAAGGGCGAGGCTCTGGGCGTCGCGAGTGCTGCGATGAAGGTTGGGGCCGGTGGCCGAGGCGCGGCGCCCCTGCCATGAGAAAAAGACGTCTAGCCAGAATGGTCCGAGAGAAAACGTCGCGGTTGATGGCCCATGCATGGGGCCGTCGCGCCCCCGTGCATGGGCCATCAACCGCGCCTCTGGCCCCTCCTTGCGCCTCTGGCTCCTGCCCCCTCGCGCTATTCGATCGGGTGTTCCGCGCTGGCCTTCGGGAGATTGGTCGTCAGCATCTCCGCCTCTCGCCCTGCAGTCTGCGGCGAGGAGGGGCCGCCCGTGAATATTTGCGGCCGGGCGACCTTGCCGGCGCGATGGCCGCTTGAGCTCCCAACGCGCTGCGTCGATTTATTCGAAGACGGAGCTGCTGTCAACTGCCGCGCGAGCACCTGTCTCGCTCGGGCCGGGGCCCGCCGCGCTAGCAAAGGCCGCCGACGAGGGGGCCAGGGTTGAGTCGGCGCTGCGGGGGCCAGAGTCAGAAGCGCGAGGAGTTTGGGCATTCAGAGATTGCGGTGGACTCGAACGATTTTGCGCGCGCGCCGCTTGACGCGGGCCCCCCCGCCCGTTGTCGCGGCCGCGCCGGTCGTTCCGACGGTTGCAAGTTAACGCCCGGAACGGGCCCTGTCGTTTGTCGGCCCGCGAGGTCCGCGAGTGCGCGGGCTTTGAAAGGTTCGGTGAGCTCTAGCAGCTGCCATGGCCGAACAGAGGGAGTTAAACGGGGCCTGACCCAGAAGGATCGAGATGCAGGAGCGATCTCAAGGACGTCGCTCGCGTCCGCCGCCTGGCCTAACATGGATGCGCTTACGGTGAATAGCCGGCACAGGCAGGAGTCGGACTTTGAGGCCGTATCACGTCGCAGCGCAATTGTTGCATACTTCCTCCTTCTTGCTACCCTCGGCTTTGCAGTCCGCCCGCAACGCTTCTGCGATAGTCTGGCGAGTCCTCAAACAATTTTGTGCGTGCACTGCTTGGTGCGGGTCTCACCTTTCGATGTCCTGGCCGCGCCGGTCGTTTCGATGGATGCGGATCCTGTCGGTCCTCGAGGCCCGCACATGTCAGTGCTGCAGTTTTAAATGGTTCGGTGCGTTCTCGCAACTGCGATGGCCCAGAAGAGGAAGTTACAAGGGGTCTGGCCAGAGAGATCAATATCTCAAAGCGATCCCAGGGCTGTCGCTCGACCCCGCCGCCTGGCTGTCACTCATATTTTGTGTGTATCTCTCCCTCTCTCTCTATATGTGTGTGTGTGTGTGTGCGTGTGCGTGTGCGTGTGCGTGTGCGTGTGCGTGTGCTTGCGCTTTTGTGCGGTTTCGATCCATTATTCATTTTGCTGTCCGCGCCTGGGATCTTAGCATCCCTGCGCGTCCGCGCGCGCTGGTTTCGCTGCCCGGCCACCCATTTGGAGCATTTGTTTTGGCACGCCCGCGCGCCTAGCGCAACCACCCTCTTGCAACGCCTGGTGCAATTCACGAAAGATTGTGCCCCATGCTATCATTCGCTGCGGTTGCGCTACCCGAGCGTCGGAGGAACAAGCGTGCGCGCGCACACGTGCGATGCGTCAGTGTGTTGCGTGCTATACGTGCGCGCGCTTGTGTCACTGTGTACGTCTGCGGACAGCACAATTCACCCCCATCCCCAGCCAGGATCCCCACGCCCGACCTGATGATCCAAGGGTCCTGGCAGGGGTTGAGGGTTTTTTGTGCACCCAACTGCCCCGAACACGCACGAATACACGTAAACACATAAACACATCAACGCACACATACACTCACACACGCACGCGCGCACACACACACACACACCTTACACACACACGCGCACTCACGCACATACATACATACATACACACACGCACGATTGTGAAGATATACATCTCAGACAAACTTGCACTCCCGTCCCCCGTCCCCGTCTCAACTCAACTATGAGAAAGATTAACAGCAGCGAGAGATACATGCAGTGAATCTCCTCCAGTCGAAGGATCAGATACTTAACGAAAAGGGGTAAATGTCCAGGTTGGTCAAGATCTAGCCGGCCGGCCCAGGGTTCGTGTCTTTTTCCACATTACCTGATGGTAGATATAGTAGACACACATAAACTGATAGCGTAGGATAGTTTGAAGACGAGAGCGACCTTCGAGGTACCGTTGTCGCGATACATACTGTAAGACGAGGCGGTCGAGTATACGTGTGTGCCAAGTGTCCGAGTTATCCAGAAAAGTGTCGAGTGCTCTTGTTCCCGATCGTGCAGCGCGTCCATCATGACGTTTTCGGGCCTGCCCGCGGGCCCGACGACGACGACGACGACGACGTGAAACAGGGACAGGTACGGTATTAGCTTCAGGACGGTGTAGGTTGATGTATGCAGACCCACGTGCAAACACATTTGATGTGGCAACAAAGTCAATGGCTAGAATCTGAAGACGTCGTCGGCCATATTTTCCGACCAAAATCTGATACCGCGTATCTCGAGGTCCTTTGGAGCCCGTGAGAGTCCGAGCCCAGCCTCGAACATGTTCACGGAAACGGCTCACAAACCCAGTACAGGTTCCAAGACCTCTATATTGACATGTTTGTCCCACGTAATGCGCTTTGAAGCCAAGCTGGTACATGAGACTATGCAGGCCTTGGCCTCGTGGATGTCAGCCATGCAAAGCAGACGTTTGTAGCCGTACAAGAGAACAACGAGAAACGATGTCATGGAAGCAAGCCTCACCTCGTCTGAGAAGCGCTTTGCGGTGTGGTCCACTCAGCACGTTAACATATCTCAGAACCCACCAGACGTATTGGCGTCCACGTGCATTGTCACAAAGTAATGACATTAAAGAACAGGCAACTGCAATACTCGTGAACAACTCCCACCCAAACGGTGTGAGGGTAGGAGATTGGTCATTCGTATGCCGAATATAAACATCGTGGATCTCACGGAGGGCTTGCACAAAGGCAGGGTTAGGTCGATCAATCATCGCTTGCAAAGTTTTTGCAATCCAGCATCAAATAATGATATGGGCGTGCTGACTAGGTGTCTGTCGAAACAGAAGGGGCACACGAAAGGGGGCCACGCGCGCGTACTTCATCACTCAGAAAGTGCGATGGTTCAAACACCGCAAATCTCCGTGCCGACAGTCGAGGTCTGAGAAGGTTTGCCTCATGTTTAGCCAACTTCTGAGTGCTCGCTCATTGAAGAGCCCAATTGACATCTGAACTGGATATGGTGTACGAACGTGGTAGAGGAAGGATATTGCATCTGAAAGAGAAGGTGTATGAAGGGCGCCGCTGGTACAACGTTTCAGAGACTACAGCAAATCCACTCTGGCGCATGCACACGATAGTGCAGATATACATCTCAGACAAACAAGCACTCCCGTCCCCCATCTCAGTCTCAACTCAACGATGAGAAAGATCAGCAGCAGCGAGAGATACAGACAAATCCAAGATCTGGCATCATTTCGCCAGTACCGCCCGAGTGAGGCTCGTTTAAGCACGGTCTGCCGCCGCGGCGACTCGGGGGGGCATTGAGGCCCCTAAACAGGCCTGAACACACAAACGGCAGCGGAGCAATCAAACTGAAAGAGGCACACACAAGCATGCATACCATACACATTGTGAAATATCCCGCCGACACCTCCTGCTCGCAGGAGGTGTCGCTCAAGCCTTTGGGTCCGAACTTTTGGCCCGCGACTCCCCCACGAGCACAACTACGCTTGGAAGCTAAGGTATACTTGTGATTGTAAAGCTTACATCTTAACAAACTACACGCACAAACACACACACAGACGCAGGCACGCACGAACGCACGCACGCATGCACGCATGCACGCACACGCCTGGCCAGGACCCCCCCCCCTGGATCGCCAGGTCAGCTCGCTGGGGTTTTTGGGCGGGGGTTGTAGCGTTGTCAATGTCAGTGTCTATGCTTGTCCTGTGTGTCTGTGTGTCTGGCGTGTGCCGCGTTGCCGCCCCAGGTGGGCTGCGAGCCTGCAGCTATTCCGCGCTGCGCGGCGCGATTCCGCCGAGCTCGGCGCCATGCGGGGCGCCTTGCGGCACGCACGTTAACAACCCTGACAGGAAGGGGGTGAGAATGGCGAAGCGGAAGGGGAGGAGGGGGGAGGAGGAAGAGGAGGAGGAGGAAGAAGTGGACGAGGAGGAGACAAAGAGGAGGGAGGAAGAGGAAGGAGGAAGAGGAGGGAGGAGGAGGAGGAAGGAGGGACAGAGGCCGCACTCGCAGGGAAGGAGGAGGAGGTTGAGAAGAAGGTTGAGGAGGAGGATGAGGAGGAGGTTGAGGAGGAGGAGGTTGAGGAGGAGGTTGGGGAGGAGGAGGAGTTTCAAAGTTTACCCCACGAAAATCGACAGAAAGAGAAGGAGGTAAAGGATGCGGAGGCCCAGGATGAGGAGGAGGGAGGAATGACGAGGGCCGCGGGCGTGCCTCGCGGCAGCGGGCGCACACGCCTACGTCTTCAAGAATCTCGCCGGGGGGCTCCGGGGCCTCCCCGATCTCCCGACTCTTGCCAGTGGCCTAGAGGAGTCGCCCGGAGGGTTCTGAGGAAACGGTTCCCCCTCTTCTTCTTCTTCATGTTCCTCCTCCTCTTCCTCCTCCTCCTCCTCCTCGCCTTTCTTATCATCATCATCACCACCATCACAGCCACCACCACCATCCCCATCACCATTCACGATCATCTTCGTCACCATCATCATCAGCATCATCATCATAATCGTCATCATCATCACCACCGTCATCATCATCACCATCATTAGCAGCATCATCATCGTCGTTGCTTCGCTTTCAGGCTTGGGAAGGTTGAAATGGGGCGAGCTTAACCTCACGCGTTCCGTACGCAACGGTGGATCATTTCTGAGAGCGTTTGCAAATTGTTGTTTGCTTTGACCCTCCTCCGCACACTCACTCGGTCGGTGGCCCAAATAAGTCGTTATTCAACAGACGGCTCATGAGGAAACGGTGGCTGAGGGGGTTCGTTGTTTTCGGTACGTCGGGGCCCTCCGAGCGCCCCCGAGGCCGTCAGAGTGGAAGGATGAACAGGGAGGAGATTCGGGGTCGATGCGCAATCATACTTCATATCAGAGGGAGGAAGAAATGCCTTCTCCTCGCGATCGTCTTCTTCCTCCCCCTCGGGCCGATCGAATCGCTGGCAGCACAGGGAGGAGCTAGGAGGATGGAGGAGGAGGAGGAGGAGGAGGAGAGGCGAGCAGGGGCCGAGGAGTGGGAGGATGAAGGACCAAGAGAAACGGAACAAGGAGCAGATCATCGAAGCACCCAGGTCATGGGAGTGAACTTAATCCGCTCATGGTGATTGCTTATATCATTATCACTTTTACCTACGAATAGCTAAAATAATAATGTGTTCATGCAACGGCGTCTGCGTTTAATCGATGGTGTTACGCCTTTTCCATTCGCTGGGATTGTTTAGTAAGTCTGGTTCCCGTTAACCGCCGCGACACTCTCTAAAGCACGGCTCATTACGCGTTCAGTCCCTACCATTGCTTGTGATGGTCGGTGACGCGAGGGGAGGAGGCATCCTCCCTCTTCCCTGGGGAGGCCGGAGGAGGCAGGCCTTGCCAGAGGGCCCCGAACGGGCGAGGGCGCACGACGGATCGCGTGGTCGGCGCTGCCGGCCGCGTGCGCGAGGGGCTCGCAGTGGCGCGCGGCCCTGGAGCTCCTGCAGGGCATGCGGCAGCGCTGGGCGGAGCCCCTCCAGGGCTCGCTTCGTTGATCCTTCGACTCGATTCGTTTCGATTTCGAGCAATGCCGCTTCCGATTCGATTCGACGTCGGATTCCGATTCGATTTCGGATTCCGATTCGATTCGGCTTCGGTTCCGATTCGATTCGACGTCGAATTCTGGTTTGGAGTTAGGAGTCTCCATGGAGGCTTTGCTAATCTGGCGATTTCCGCCGATTCCACGTCTCCCGTTTTGGCTGCAGATGTCCACCCATCCGATTCATTCCGATCGCCAAACCGACATCAATTCGATTCTTGGCTCTCCTGCCCCTCTCGGAAGAGCAGCGTTCCCAGACCAAGGTCGAGTCGCGAAAAAACACGATGGGAGGTGTTTTGCTATTGTCGTCCCGTGGTGTCCCTCGACAGGCCCAGGGACCGTCGACAGAAACGTCTCAGGATGAAAAACCGGTCACTGGGAAGGGATCCAGATCTCTTGGGGGTCCACGTCATGAAAAGACTACGACGTCGGTGGTCTAGGGCGGAATGCTCAGGAGGGGACGTTTCGGACTCGAGGTTGGAGGTGTTCGGGAGTTCTCGTCGGCTCTCGCCGGTTTTTCTTGCCTCGGGGATGCTCTCCACCGGCAACTTGGGGGTGACGGGATTGTCCTGAACGGACGCCAGAGGCCCGAGCCATGACTCGCAAACCAGACGACGAGGATCACCGGGCCGGAGGGAGGATGCAGCGATTCCCGATCCGTTGATCGCCGACAGGGGCCCGGTAGCCCAGCCCGCCCAGGACCGTGTAGTTTCGCTATCGGCGGCCTATCGCAGATCTACCGCCGATGTATCGCCGATTCCAGGTCGATGCTTCCCCCCCTGAGGGCGGTCCCCCCTTAACACCCTGCTCGCCTCCTGGGTGCCCTGGGTTTCTTGGGTTTCAAGCGTGACGTTCCCACACCAGAAATCAATGAGCGTCCTGGGTTCTCAGGGTTGGGTTTCTTATGGGAGGTGTCTTGCGGTCGGGCCCCTGCCGTACGTCCCCCCTTCGCTCTCAGAGGGTGACATCTCGGAGGACGGCCAGTCGAGACCAGGGCGGCCATCCTTGGCTTTCCTCGTAGTATTTCTGGGGGGCTTCGCTTCTCATGGCCGCGGCGGGGTTCGAATCGAACCACGTGTCAGGGTGGACCATGGGAGGAGGACCGATTTTGAGCAGAATGCTGCCGGGCGGGAGAGCCGCCGCTGAGCAATCTTAGAGGATGACGAGGGGGGGGAAATATGACTCATTGCAGAATTCACACGGCCGCGGCCCCTCACACGTCCTCCAGCGTCGCCCGCTCCTGGAGATCGGTCAGCGATTCGCACCCGAGTTGGTGTCGTCGTGCAAGAGAGGGCGCTCGAGCAGCGCCCTTGTATTTCTCGATGACCCATGGACGACTGGCCAATTTTCCACCACCACTACCATATGTAGGACTGGGGGGACGGGAGGATGGCGAGGTCATCCTCCTCTCCTCCCCCTCCTCTACCTCCTCCTCCTCCCCCTCCTCCCCCTCCTACCTATGGTAGTGGTGGTGGCAAAAGGGCCCATGAAAATGGACCCATGGAACGTCCGATGCGATGCCCGGTGCAGCTTCCGCATGTGAACCTCAGCCGAGAACGGGGAAAGCTTTTGGCGGCCCCTCGGCGCCTCGCGCTCCGCATAGCGAAGGGCATCTGCTGACAGACACACACACACACACACACACCAGGGAAACGTAAGACTCGAGTAAGCCGGAACTCGGGTTGGCCGACGTTTTTTGACGAGCGCGTCCTGGACTTTGACGGTCCGTTTTCATGGGATGTTCGCAGCGGGAGTTCGCGTGAAATTTCAGATTGGGTCTCGCCATTTTTTACGATGGCCCCGTCAGGCCAACCCGAGTCCCCCGTACCCGAATCTCAAGTCTCCCCGAACACATTCGCGTTGACACGTCTTTTACGATGCAATTCCCGGGAAGTGAAGTTCAGCTTCTGCGCTGCTATATCCATGGTCGACAGCCGACCGAATCCAGCATCATCGCGCTCAATCCCCAGCGTTCTTGCGAATACCTCCTGGGAGCTTCCAACTTCTTTCGGTCCACCGAGCCTTGTGCTCGCGGGGCGGCGCGCTTCCCAGGTGGAGCCTTCCGCCGTGACCGAGCTGACGTGCGCCAGTATGCCCGGCAGCAGCTGGACCGCAGCGCCTCTGGGTCGCGTCGCAGTCGGGCGGGGTGACCAGGAATCCCCCCGTTGCCACGGGGGTGTTGGCCAGGCGGGAGGAGAGACCCTGTCGCCGCCCCCTGCGCGCTCCGAACGCCAGGGAGGGGGTCCAGCGCAGATCCAAGAAATCCGCGCGGACCTCCGAAAGTTTATGTTCACGCACGTTGTTCCTGTGACGTCAGCTTGAGATGAACAAATGGTACATCTTCCCCCCCTCCCGTGGCTGATGAATAGACCCAGCGGGACTCGAGAATGTGTTTTGATCACGCGCGCCTGGGGTCATCACTGGAGCTGACGAGGGGATCCTGTACACCCCATGCACAGCAGCCTCAAAACAAGGTTGTCTCTGCCGTTGGAATTAGAACAAGCATAACATAAATGCGAGCGGAAGTTGTTCCCCCCCCTCTCAGGCTGAGTATTGACGTGTCCACTCGTCGTCTTCGTCGTCGTCCACGGCGGCCCTCCTGCGCAGCCCCGCCCAACCTCATGGGGCATCCTCAGCGCCCTGCACCGTCGTGGTCGTCGACTACAGCGGGCCTACGCAGCACCCCCCCACCCTCCGATGGGGCAAGCGCAGTATGTCGTCGTCTCCGCCGTCATGGATCATCGTCGTCGTCGTTGAGCGCACTGGGCCTACTCAGCTCGCCATCCCCCTTATTCCCCCCATGGGGCATCCGCAGCGCATCTTCGTCGCCCGACGTCCGTGGTCGACCCGTCGTTCTCGGTCGTCGTCGACTACAGCGGGCCTAGTCAACAGTACCCCCCCCAGGGGTATCTGGAACGCGCGCGCGCGCGTCGTGGGTCGTCCCGTCGTCGACCGCCCCGCTGTAGCGGAGGCGCTGCTGCGTTTGTCGCCCTCCCGTTGGCGGCCAGGCGTCGGCGCTAATCACCGGCGCCGCCGTGGTAAATTCGTTTCCACTTGCCCCCCCCCCTCCCGAGCAGGGGGGGCATGTCGTAGATCACGCGCCTGGATTGCATGTTTCCCAGAAGCTAATCACAAGCGTATATCAGCTTGACTTGTAATGTGAGGGTGAGAGGGGAGAGAGAGAGAGAGAGAAGGAGAGAGGGAGAGAGAGAGAGAGAGAAATACATAACAAACAAAGAGAGGAAGAGAGAGAGGGAGAGGGAGAGCGAGAAGGCGAGAGAGGGAGCGAGAGGGAGAGAGAGCGAACATAAGGACGATGCAACCCCTTTTCCCAGATGCGCGGGCGGGGGGCGCATGCAAACGTAAGCGGAGGTGACTCGCCTTCGCGTCCCACTCTCGCAGCTCACACTCGCCATGAACATGGGTCTCCATGAAAGCCCAATGTTGGTGCCGAGCTGCGTTGAGCTCGACGTGCTTCCAAGCCTTGTCGGACATGGAGGCCACGTTGCTGTAGAACAACGAGGTAGTCTCCATCTCCGTCTCGCCATCCTCCTTGGGCTGGGCGGGGGCCAGCCCGGCGGCCTGTCGCGCCGCCGTGGCACTGGCCCCCGCCGCGTGAACTGCCACGCCTTTGCCTGCCGCTTTGGCCGCCTCGACCTTCGCCTGGGTCTTCGCGTCGGAGAGCCTCTTGGCCTCGGCGGCGAGCTCGACTTCCTTCTCTGCCTGGCTCTTTTTCTCGGCGTCGCTCGCCTCCGTGCCAGCACCCCCTGCCCCCCCCTGCCCCGCGCCTTGGGCGCCCGCGGCATCGCCGCGTGGGGCCGCCGCAGCTTCCTGGCCGTCCTCGGCCGCCGCCGCCGCTGGGGCCTGGGGGGAGGCGTCGGCGTTCTTGCGCTTCTTGGCGAGCCTGTCCATGATCGTCTTCTGGTAGTCGGCCGCCTGATTGAGCCACCTCTTGATCTCTGCCTCACGGCCTGAGAACGTCGTGCGCACCTCCTCGAGCTGGTTCTTGATTCCCATCAAGGCTGCACGTTCTTCGGTCGTGCACTCCATCGTCTCTAATAAGCTGAAGATCTTCTCATCCCACTCGATTGTGAACAACTGATCTCTCTTTGCTGCTGACACTTCGGACGCTGGCGCCAGCCCCTCCGCTTTTGCCAAAGCCAAGGTCGCTGCCTTCTTCGACGCCAAGGCCTCCGCCAACGCCCGTGCCGCAGCTTGCTCCTTCTGCTCCGCCGCTGCCAAGTTGCCGCGATGCCTGAGAGTGCTGCCTACCGCCTGCTCGTGAAGGTGCTCCTCAGTGCGTAGTGCACCCTCTTCCCTGTTGAGAGCCTCGCCTGGAGACTCACGCGCGGCCGCTGTCTGCTGCTCTTTTGCGGTGATCTGCACCAGCTGCGTCTCCAAGGCTGCCTTGAGTGGGGGGTCCGCCGAAGCCGCGATCACCGCCTGCTGCAGCAGCGCCCGCACCTGGTTAGCGCCGCCCTCTGGCCCTTGCCGCTCCTGACGGGCCTCGGGGAGGCGCTGCGGGAGCGGGCGCCGTCTCTGAGGATGCCGATGGG